AGACCATTTCTTTCTTTAGATATAACTTTTTTTCATGACCAATTTTTTTGCTAAATTTTTCTGGTACCGAAATATATTTTCGAACGCGATTTTTAATCTATTGTCATTCAGGTTGTTTTATTTCAGTATAAAATATTGATCCCTTTAGCAGCCAAAAAATTTGTTGTCAAAAATTAACCGACGCCAATCAACTAAAATTTAAGTAAACAACAACCCAACTTATTAATCTATCAACTAACCAGTCAACCAATCAACCATTCAACCAGCCAACCAATCAACCATCGACCAATCATTCAACCAACTAATCGACCAATGAACAAACATGACCTAGTGTTTCATGGAGCCCTTAAAAGCAGTTCAAGTCGAAGGTCACCTGATGAACGCTGAACCCCGCGAACTCTTTGGCAATCTCGATGAAGTCTGCCTGGTTCGTTCAATGGATAGATGGATGGATGGATGGATGGATGGATGGATGGGCAGATAAATGAATAGATTGTTTCGGAGCAATTAAATAGAGGTTAAACTAACTAAAGATATAATTAAGTTTTAATAGACCATCACATGCACATAACAAAACATTGTGGGTTGTTTCAATAAGGACATTATTATTAACAGATAAAAGCTTAATTAACTAATGCAAAACATTTATTGCAAATAAACAACGAAATTAAAAATTGTTAAAAGTATTGAATGTACCTGCGGCTTTCCATTCGAAAAAATCATTCAAAATAATTTTCCGGTCTCTTAATTAGTAGTTCAGTTCAGGCAATTAAAAAAACGTCATCAGTGAATGTCAGCTGATGTGACGAACATGTCACAAGGTGGTGGTAGTAAGAGTGGTGATGGTGGTGGTGTTGGATGTTTTGTAAATAAAATGAATGGAGGTTGTTGCTAATAAGAATATACGTACTCCTGTCCTACCTTTGCATTCACGTCTCCTCTGCTCATGCCATTCAATTATTCGCTCCGTGCCGTGAAATGTAGTGGGATAAAAAAAAATGATGCTACGCTATAAGGAGTGGATCGAAGCCCTTCAAGATATCCACTATTTGCTATCCATTTCTGAGGAGTTTCGTCGACGCCAAGTATCATACCGATAGAAACGTTTCAAAGTTTAGTCTGATCATTGACAAAGTAACTTTTAAAATTCTAAAAGGCTCAAAAACTTTTTGCAAAATTTGAAGTAGCGTCTTATTTTAAAATGATCTAAAATCTTCTTTTAAAAGCTAATTTTTAGAAAATTATTGTCATACAAATTTTTATATCTCCAATAAAATGGCCATCATTATGTCTCAGGCTTGAACTCACTCTCAAATCAATCTCACAGTTTTTAATAAAAAACTTAACTCAACAAAATCATCAACAATTAAAATAAATAACATTTTTATAACTTACTGATATATAACAACATTTTTTTAAATTTGAACCTCGACCTTGACCTCAGGTGACCCACACCTTCTGCACCGAGTTCATAGAGATGCTTCTCATGGAGGCCACGGAAACGGAAGTCGGACAAACAATTGTCCTCCTGAAAGCGCTCAGCAGAGTTTGTGTATATTTTAATATCAATGGTGCGCTATGGTGTTCAAGTTTTTGTGCGTGAATAAGATTCTGTTTGTTGTTTATCTGTTTGTTCTGCTTATCTTTAGGTTTGTTGTCTTTGATTGATGTCTATGTTGTTTATATTTGCTTTCTATGCTGTTCATAAATGCTTTTTATGTAGTTTATGTTTTTTTTCTATGCAGTTTGTGTTTTATTTTTGTGTTTGATTTCTTTGTTATTTATGTCAAAAGTCAGTGAATGATTTCTAAGTCTCGAGTCTACGTTCTTGTAGGCTGCCTATAATTATCTATCTGTTTGTGGAAACATGTCGTGTGTGTGTGTGTATGTGTGTGTGTATGTGTGTGTCTGTGTGGTGTGTGTGTGTGTAAATATATAAAAAATATAAACACTTTGTAACGGGTTTTATACCGGCTTTTTGTTGTACATTTTGATAAACATTTTTACTTTCGGTTATAAAAAAACAGCCATAGTTACTATAAAAATTATATTAATACATGAAAATAATTTTTGAGCTGTGTTTGTTAATTAACAGATATTATTAGGAAAAACCAAATGTTTTTTGCTTGCTGTGACGTGGAAATGACGTTGAAATGACGTAGGAATGACGTTGAAATGATGTCACGAATGCATTACGATCTAAACGGGGCCGTGTTGAGATGGTGTTTGTGTCTTTCTGTGTTCTAACGAAAGTATATTGTGTGGAAGGACAGCGTGAACTGTAATGCAACTCGAATGCTAATAAATGTTTTGAGAAGGAAGTTTGATGAACTGATTTGAATTTAGATCAAAAATTACTTCTTGAAAAACGTTTATAATTTCTATATAGATGATAAGTTAGAACTTTCTTCCAACGAGCTTGTTCAAATAATATATATGTAATTTTCCAATAGATTGTTTGTTATTGGGCAAACTAATAGAAATTAAAAAACTAAAGCCAAAAAACGCTACAATAATAATGTGTTGCACTCTGCAGTTCTGTCAGCTAACAAGAGATGGCGAGGTGTATCACGAATACTGCCTCAACTACTCCAAAGCGATCGTCTGCCTCGAACAACTGAGGAAAAGTGAGGACTTTGTGAGATTCGAAAAGGTATCAGGAAGCACTTTTGTCAGTTACGTTTTGCTCTGAAGATTACTAACAATTAATTTGTAGTCTAGAGTTGATTTTGTGCTATTAACATATTCGATCAGTTCATTTAAATGAAGGTGATTAATTTAATCTGACTCGTTCTTTGAATTCATTGCAACTCTGAGACACTGGAAAATAAGATGCAGTGTGGCGTTGAAATGTGTGTAATTCTGTGCAACAATGATTGGACTTGAATGCAGTGGAGATCTCCGTTTTTCACACACACATACACACACACATACACACACACGCATACAACACACACACACATACACACACACACAACACACACACACATACACACACGTGTGTGATGCGTTGTTTCTTTCACGTATGCTTGTGCGTACAATGCGTGTTTGTGATAGGTTAAACCATCAGAAGCACCACTCCTGAAACTATCTGTGCACACGACGAAATATAAATTACAAACTTTTTCCAAATATTGTCAACATTTTCACTGTTGTCAACATTTTCACATGTTGTCAACATTTTTATATGTCAAAATTGTCACATGTCGTCAACATTTTCACACGTTGTCAACAATTTCGCAGTGGTGCATCCGAGACCCGCGTTGCCATCGCCTGCACCTGACCGACCTGCTGATTAGCCCGATGCAACACTGCACCAAAGTACCCCTGCTACTCAGCAACATCATCAAGTACACGAACGACGATGAAGATAAGAGAGTCATTCGCATGACCAGCCAGAAACTCGAGGCTTCATTGAGTTGGTTTATCATGGATATTGTTGTTGTTGTGTTGTTGTTCGTTTTGCTAATGTTGCTGAGTGTTGCTGAGACAGTTTCGCTGTTCTATAAAACAAAAAGCCAGTTTTCTTGATTAAAATTGTATATAGCCAATTCCATATTCGATTGTTCGTATGTCAGTCCGTTCATCTAGATTTGAATGAAAGTTCAGTTTAATAGCAATGCAATACAATCATGTAAATAAGAAAACTTGGAAGCGAAAATGACTTGGCTGAAGAACTTTGAACGAATGCAAGAAATACAACGTCAAGTTATCTGGCTACCCATCACTGAGTTGGAACCTAAGTCATACATTCCTGAGGTGTCTGCTGTTGTTTCTGCTGCTGTTGTTGTTCATGATGAAGTTGTTTGATTTGCTTTGTTTGGTTTGTTAATGATAATGTTGATTTGATAAGTATCTCGCTGTCTTTTGCTGATTAGGATGATGCTTAAACTGGTGTTTATGTTGTTGTGTTGTTGTTGCTTGTGTTGTTGTTGTGTTGTTGTTGTTTGAGTTGCTGCTGTTGTTGGTGGCGTTGTTGTTGTTATTAAGAATAACCAGAACTATTTTAATACATTAATAAATCTTTTTGAATGCAAAAAAATTAATGGTTTGAAACATTGCAGTTCATAAGACCGCTACTAAATCATCAGCCGTGTGAGAGATTGCTCGCAAATCCTACCAGACAGCTGGTACATGAGGGTCCCGTCTGTCTGCTAGGTTGTGTTAATTATCTGTCTGTTTGTCTCTGTCAGTCTGTCTGTCCGTCTGTCTGTATGTGTGTGTCTGTCTAGTCTACTAGTTGACTAATTTTTTACTTTTTTTATAGTTTACTTTTTTTGTGGTAAATTTAACAATATTTATATTTCTAAGCCTCATTGTTAACCATCAACTTAAAACAAATTAGGCATTCATTTTTAAAAAAAAAATATTTTTTGAATAAACATTAAAACTTGCAGAAGTTTCAAAAACAGTTGACATGTACATGTTCCTCTTCGACGATATCTTATTACTAACAAAAATCAAGAAAGGTTCCAAAAAGGTTCATTAGCCGCTTTCATTAATAATTTGAAGCAAAAGCATCAAACTAAACAATCAACACAATCCAATGTTAGCAATACATAGTCAGCATTTCTGTGAATCGTCAGCAGTTAATATAATTTGCATTATTATCATAATCGCAGCCATATCAGATCACCATCATCATATTATCATCATTATCATCATAGTCATTTTCTTAACCATCACTACACCATCATGATTATCATCAACAAAAACAACAGAAGTTGCCAGGCAACAACGAGGTGACGTCATCGTGTTCCTCCTCGAAGATTGGTGGAACGAAACTCGTGGTACACAGGCAGCCCATATCATTGGACAGATTTGTAATCCATAGCATACATAATTCCGAAGCTAATGGTACTGTGTTTGTGTGTGTGTGTGTCTGTGTGTGTGTGTCTGTGCATTTATGTGTGTTTGCGTGCCTGTGTGATGTTTTGTCTCTGGCGGTTTTTCCATTGCTTTGGCGACCTCACTAACATGCAGAACACTACTATCATCATAACTTTTAATAACACCATTATCATCATCATTCATCACCATCATCATCATTGTTATCATCACCAACGACATAATCATCACCATCATCAAACGATTTTTTCTCACCACAGCCTGCAAATTGGATTTTGGCAACTTCTTATCGAGAGAAAGAGTGTGTGTGGGATGGGATTATTTTAAAAAAAATTGTAAAAAAAATATACACATACTCGAATTGAAAGGATTTTTTGAACACTTCGAACTTATCCACGATAAAAATTGAAATTAAATTGAATTATAATAATAGAACATTAATATTAATTAATTAAAAATGAATATATATAGAATTCAATTTCAATCACGAATACGAAAATAAATAGCTAATTATTTCAATTGTTCGCATTTTTTAAAAATAATGTTAGAACGGCTCAAAACGGCCCATTTATGCTGAGTTCATTAACAGATCTATTAAACTAGACAAATTTCAAGATTATACTGGTGAAAGTGTTAATATAATAGCTGTAAGTTAATTATGATGTGTAATATTTAATTATTTGTTATTCGTAATATTTGACTCTTATTTATTCATAATATATATTTTTAACTACAATTTAATTATAACGTATTTAACTTCAATTTAATTATAATATATATTTAACCACAATAGTTTTCATTCTTTAAACTAGAGCCGATATCCCGAATTAACTAAAAAGGCATTTGTGAATCAGGTTTCATACGGTTCACATTTAATATATGTGTATATATCATATATAAATCAAAATCTAAAAATAAATCAAAATTTAAAATTCAAGATATTAATGATCTTTCTAGCATAATAAAGATGAAGATGATTTAAGGAAATGATAATTTTAGCGCCAATTTTACACAGATTCATGGATCAATCAATCGTCCGGTCCTAATTGGATGACAAACAGCCAATCACAGCAAAGTTTGTCTCAGAAGCCTGGAAAAGGCGTTTCTAACTTGGGCTCCGATTACTACCATTTGTTTGAGGGCGTTGATGATGATTGTGTCAGCATGGATAACTACCAGACAAACAGGTTTCATTGATTAATTTGTCGATTGATTGGTTGATTGGTTGGTTGGTTGGTAAGTTGGTCGGTCGGTCGGTCGGTCGGTCGGTCGGTCGATGGCAGATTGATCTGTTATTTAAAAAAATCGGTAATTTATTTGAAATTTCGAATTTAGGTCGAGTCTGTTGACAGCTTGCGTGCCGACAGTAACTGCATTCACGAAGAGCAGTTTCGTAATTATACAGGTCACCAGGTTTCAGCAAGTTATCGCCGTCTACACGCTGCAAGCCCCATCAGAAACTGCCAAAGTTAGTTGTACGCTAATATTTTTCTCTTAAGAAATGGTATAAATTTTAGCAAATTATTCATTTTAAATTATCAATCAGAACTAAAATTGAAATAAAAACGCAGTTTAGATTTTACCTTTGAATATGGTTTGTGTTGAGTATCTATCTAATTAACATCTGTATTGAATTACATTATAACCGTTTGTTGAACCTTGCAGATAACCTGGACATCAAAGATAACAGCTTCCCAGCAGCGTTACAATGCGAATCGACGAAACAAATCTTCATCTCTCTCCTCTCTCGTTCTCTCACCATCCCGCCAGAACACCGACGATGAAACCAGCTACAAAGATTCAGTGAGCAGTGCTAAAGAAACGATGAACGTGAAGGAATTCAACTTGCCGCCGACCATTTCCATATGTCCTTCAACGAGTGGTGAAGTTTTGAACAAGTACAGCCCAAATATTAACGCGCTCTCTGAACTAGCAATAAATGAGCTTAGGAGTGAAGATGAAGAAATTGATGAAGAGGAAGAAAGGGAAGGCGCAGGAAACGGCCAGGATAAGACGGAAAGCTCGTCGAGGATATTGAAGTCACGCACGAAACAGCGAGGTAGTGAAGTTCGACTTTTAGAGAATGATGACGTCTTCGAAGGTATCGACGAGATAAGCTTACGTAAAAGAACGATGAGGATGAAATCCAGAAGCTGCAAAATAAAGTCGAATAATGATAGCTTCGGATCGATGGAATCAAGCAATTCAAAAAATAATTTATGTAGCAACACTTTGAAAGGATGTGGCGTTTTTGGGGCTAAAAAACAATACCACCAATCAAGTATTTTATCGAGTAAATACGGTTTGCCGTATTACGCAGGTTTTTCTAACAATTCACTTGAGACTTTGGATTCATTTTCTGTAACGAGATTCGACATTCATGAGAGAAGACCAGCTCTACACGTAGAATCGGTTGATTTGCCACCTTCTCTAGATGCCCTGATATCGGCAAATATGCCTGCATACACCACAAATGCGCAGGTTTTGCGAGAAACTCGAAAACGAGGAGCTCAGGATAAAATTTCCAAAATAAAAAGCAATGAAGCCATAGATGGAGCCAGGAGAAGGTTTGAAATTATTGAAAATGAACCGAGTAAAACAAATGATACAATACCCAAAAGCAAACCAACATCTACCTCATCAGATCAAACTCCAACGATTCAAACTACAATGTATGACACCGAGCCACAACCAGATGAACTTCAGAGTAAGACTCAATCAAAACAGCCAGTCAGAGCAACGTGTAGTGTTCCATTATCAGCCACAAACTTTCAAAGTTTGCCAAGACCTAGACCTGTAAAACCAAGCCCTCTCCTAACGACCAATAATCCATCTTCACTGAACGTCAACAAAGAGGCACAATCATACGCTCTATCCCCTCCATCACAGCATCCAAAATTAACTCCAGCTGTTTCGTTAGGATTTAACGATGTTCCAATTGGAAATTTGATACCTATTGAACCGCTGTTATCACTAGAATCTCTTGTCAGGCCAGTTGCGAATTTTGCGGTAAATCGATCAGCAAATTCATCTGCAAATGTACTGCCTAGCCATGCGTCAAGAAAAACATCTGATCAGACTAGCTCAAAAAGTAATAATTCGAACTTATTAGTTCAACTCGGACATTCTTCTGTGGCCAAAGCATCTTCCAGTATGGGACTAACAAACCAGCAGGCATCAGCGGAATGCCTGTTTTCCTCAAAACAAAGCCATAATTTTGAAAGTAAATGTGGTTTAGATCAGAACAAGCAGCAATCGTTAAGTCCGATGTACGATTCGAACATCCAAAAAACAGCTTCAAGCTCAATTCTCATGGAAGGAACGAATTTAATTGAATACGATCCTTTGCATTGTTCCTACTCAAACGAACTAGATTTTCAATTGAACAAAGCTGTATCCAGTAGTAATTTGGGCTCTTTTTCAAGGAAGAAAACTGATTGTGAAACACAATGTCCACAGACGTCTCGTTACAAAAGCGCCGTTGCTTTAACGCACCCAAGTGAAAACTTGAATTTATTTTCAACCCAGGATTTAAATTTGTTTGTTCAGAATTCAGCTGAATTACACGTGAAATTTGATGCACTTGAACAACCAGAACCCAAAAGTGTTCGCTCGAAAAGTCTTAGGTCAAGACCAATGGATCCCATTTCTGAGAAAAACCCTTTCGCTCATTGACTTAAACAAAAGAATTTCAAATCATGGAAGCTTCGTTTATAAATGTTCAAATACTGTTATTTATATATATATATATATATATATATATATATATATATATATATATATAAGTTATTGTTAATTTAAATACATTTCATGATATTTTCGTTGTTGTAGTGATGTTGTAATCGTAATTTTAACCAAACTACAAACAGGCTTATTGTGTTTGCACACTATGTTATATTGTTTCGTAGACCTAAAATCAAGACTAAACTTTTTAGTTATTTATTTTTGTACTGCACAAACAATGCCATTTTAAGTTCAATGTGACTTGTTATAATCGTTCATCATATGCGTGTTCACTTATTTTAAATAAATTCTTAGAAAAATGGCGTTTCTGTTCAAATGAATTACGGATCAATTAAAGACAGCCCCTAATTTTAATATAATGTATTTATTTATATATACACACACACATATATATATTATATATATATAAGAAGAAGACAACGCAATTACATAATTTTATTAGATATGATTGTAACAGTTAAAAAAAGAAAACTAATTTCTTCCATCTATGCTTCATCAAACAAATGATCACGTGACTGGGTTGCGATTTAAAAATTAATTTCACGATAAATTAGTGTAATAATAGACGAATGGGCGTGATTATCGGCTTGGAATTTTTCGTATAAATTTTAAATTCGAGCGTTTAGTTAAATTAACAGACAATGTTCCGGCCGTCGATGGATGCGAAGATGAGATATCAAGAAAATATAGAAACCTCTGGCGATATTGATGCTGATGCTGGTGGCCGGGGTGACAGAACTCAGGATCGATTGGAAACAGCGCTGAAAAAATTGTTCGGCCATATTTGTGAAACACTGATCGAATTTCAACACAAACTGCAAATTAGTGGCACCATTGCAATTACGATAGACAGCGAAAGCGTCATGTTGCTTCAATTTTCTGAGCTGATAATAAATCCTAACAAATCACATCATATCATCACCACGACAAACAGTAGTAATAAATTGTTGACATCTTTGAAGAAATCTGATAAAAATTGTAAATATTTAAATAATCAAGTAGCCGAAAATTTGCATAGGAACTCTTCTTCCAGTGAAACCATATACACATACAGTGACAATGCTGCTGAACTTAACGATGGTTCCAACCCACAGCAAAACATTCATCTCAATTTGATGCATCAAAATAATATTAACCGAACGACACTGTTGTCTCCATCATCATCAGTGGGGACGAGAAACAGCCAGGTATCATCAACACCTCCTTTTAACTACGTTGAGGCTGAATCTGACAAACCAAATCAAAAAGTAAACAGCAGATGTTTGAGTAAGTTGACTCAGCTGCTTCAAACACCTGTCATAGCAGCTGGTCCAGAAGAGCTCAACTTGTCAAAACAGTATCTGAGTCCTAATTTAAACAACAACATCAACAACAAAGTATGGAAACCAACTTCTGCTTCAGAAATTTTGAAAAGAATGTCAACTCGAGTGGACCACCCCGTCGCCAACCCATCAAACAGTAGCAGCAGTTTAAACTGCCTGAATGAGAGAGTTTCAGAGGAGGGAGTGGCACATAGAGATGCTCCCAGATCGGATCAGTCCTTCCTTCAATCAATACTATCCGGTAATATGCCTTCCTTGTCTTCAATTTCGAACATGTACAGTAAGAAAAATTTGTCTGTACCAAATAAGTATGGGAGCTTCAATAATTTAGAAAAGTCATCAGCATTACTAGCAGCTGTATCAGGTCGCAGTAATAATGTTAACAGTTACAACAATGGCTCTTCTTATTTGAAGGAATTGTTGTTCGACAAATCATCATTATCCTCACTATCCAATCAAGCAAAATTAACCACAATGATTCTTTCAGACAAAAAACGCAAGCGACAAGATCATGACAATGACAGCTCTAGCAGCAAACACAGAGTTCTGAATAGTGACAGCACCGAACATACAAAAACTGTATCATCATCTCAGTCTGTGTCATCTAGTCTACTGGACGACATTCCTCAGAGGATGAAGAAGGAGTCATCACCCGTGGCATGCGACCCGTGTGACTTCAGTGACTATCGATACAGCATGCTACTGCACAAGTTAGTTGGGGTGAGGCAGAACCAACAGCATGAAAATACATTACTTTCCAGTAACAACAACAATAATATCAGCAGTAATAGCAGCATCAGTAACATTGCCAACAGTAATTACTTCCAATGTAATAAGGACGAGGGGACTACCAATGAAAATTATGATGATAAAAATTTATCAAATCAGCCATTTTTGTTATTGAGTGAAATTAAGAAGGAGTCTATGAATGATGGCGACGATGACGACGACGATGATGGTGGTGGTGATAGCAACAACAATAAACATGTTAGAGTGATGTTTGTCACTGGTGGTGATGATGAAAACAATACTGCTGCTGATGGCGATGAGAATGATAACACCGATGATGCCAGTTAATAATAATAATCTCTTCCTCCATCATCATTATGCCCTACATTGTCATATCTCCATATTTTTCTCTACAGAATGCTTTTTCATTGTGTTATTACTACAATTGGTTACAAGTCATTTTGTTTATTTAATATTTTTTTAATGTACAAATTTTTGCTCTAACTAGCCATCTACGTTATTTATTTCTAAATTTTAATGGCACACATCGTAATTGATTTTTAATTTTTATGATCAATATTATTATTATTTTATTTGTTCGTTTAAATATCGTGAAGTCTATAAAACTAACATATCTACAAAATGTAGGCTTATGTATAGGAACTCACTTTTAAAGCAACCACCTTGTCTTCTAAGATTTATTTTTCAATACATTATAACAATAAAACCATTACAATCATGTTATATATATATATATATATAATATATATATATATAATTAAATATTTATATAAATATAATAATATGTATGTTAATATATATTATTAAAATCTGTTAAAAGTAATTGATAACGTTGATTTAATTAAATAAAGACATGAAGTACATGCAGTATATGATTTTTTCCTCTAATAAGGATGGATTTATTTATCAATGATTCCCACTGATTGTTATCTTAATTATATTTTTCATGTTGGCTAAATGATTTTAAATAATAAATTTGCAATTATTATATTAATTAAGTAATTAATTAATCAATTAATAAGTGATTTATATGATATTTTAATAAAATTATTTCTTGTTTCTTATTGAAAGTAACATTGTTTTGCCAAATTATGAACTACTTGATACGTTTTTTTATTGTACAGTTTTGTACATTTTCCAGATAATGTGTTTGAAAACCATTTGATCATGGTTGTCATCCCATGTTTTTATTAATTTCAATTTGTTTTTAAAATTTTTTTTTAAGTATCAAGTTGCTTCGATAATATTAATATTAAAATAGCTTATGATATAAATAAAATTAATATCTGACGGACAAAATAATAAATTTATTTTTGCAGATCAATTAAACATTATTATTCTTATTATTATTAACGTAATTATTTTATTGAACTTTATCACATGCTTTCCTTTGTAGATATCATTCAAAAGACCGGTCAGTTAATTTTCTTACAACATGCACTGATGTATACACGACTCCATATACATCTGGAGGTTGTTTTTAAAACATGACGAACTCGATGTTTTCTGATTTTATTTTGTGTTTTCCAGGCTCAGCTCTTTCAGTGCCTGAGTTATGGAAATAAGGTGTGAAATAAAACCTAGACAACATCCAGATCGCCAATCCTTCCATGGTTTGTTAACCACGTATTTGATTTTTAGTATTATTTCAACATTTTTCTCTCATTATTTAATTTTTAATAGCTGTTCATTTTTAAAACGTTCTAGTTCACGATCGACAGAAATTTCATGTGTTTATTTTTTCAAATTGCTATATAACTATTTCTTTTCGTATAAATTTACCGATTTGAATTTAAAAATATAAAATTTTATATAAAATCTCAAAATCATGAACAGATTTGACGCGCACGCTTGCATTTGTTATCATATCTCCATCCTATCACTATCGTTTATTTGAGATAATTTCTGTTAAATTTTGTTATATATAATTTAAAACATTTGGTAACTTGCTAAAAAACTATAAGGATTTGTTACTGATTATTATTATTATCACCAATTTCGCCATGGTTATTATCAATTTTTACAATAATTACGTTGTTATATATAGATACTACACGTAAGAACTGATATATATGCCAGCTTACTATCATTTAGGGAAGAGTTTTCTATGTGCAATATAATAAAATTAATTAAATAGTTTAAACTGAGAATTGTCAAAATTAAACATTTATTTTCTATCATTTTTCATAGAAAGGACGGTGTCAAAGTAGGTTTTTGTTGAAACTTTTTTATACTTCTAACAATGAAACAAAACAAAAAGCAAAACATCACGGTACAGACTAACAAATTTGAAAACAATACAGCGAGACAAAAATGCATTTCAGATAACAAATGAAGTGAAGTAGACATTTTAGTCCTGGCATGATTTATAAACGCTGAGTCACTTTTTTTTAAGTATTTACATACATAAAATAATTTTTTAAATAATTGTTATTAACAACAGTTATTATTATTATTATGGAGTGTGACGTCACTGTCATACTTTTCTTAATTATGATTGGTTGTATCCCGTCATGGTCCACCCCCCTCCATTTTCCATTATAATGTTTTTTAGGTCAAGTGTTTCCATGATATTTTTCACATCTATTCTGTATATAAATGAAAATAAATTTATATAATATATATGAAGTTTTTTGTTATATACGTGTAATGAGTTGAAATTGAATCATTAATTAATTATCTACAAAAGTTTATGTTTTGTTGAAATTTCAGGCTTTTAAGGTTTTAAACAGACGTTTATGTACTGTGAATATATTGTATTTTAAAATATTTGCATAAAATATTAAACGAACTTTGGATCCTGTGTGTTGTTTGCTTCATTATTATTAATGTTATTTCCGTGAATATTAATGATCTTCTTTGGCAGGTGATTAGTTCGTGGCTTGTAAATAGCTCCTCCTCTTTCGAGTGACGAGCAGACGTAATCATCAAGAAATGAGAGAGAGTAATCGAACTGTTGAGATAACATGAGATTAAAAATCACATCTAAATGTTCTTTTTTTGTAAAATAATCGTAAGCTAGCCTCCTGGCATCAATGATTTAAGGCATAGTTAAATAGTCGACAGTTTTGTTATGTGAAAACGATTAGTTAAATTTTCCCCACTCACTTCTGATTGGTTGTTGATCCTCCGTACGAGACTGGTGTCATTATTTGTACAGATCCAGAGCAGCTCCTTGTGGTCCTGTGAATGGATTTTTAAAATGAAAAAATAAAACTGCCAATTTATTTGTTCATTAGAGAGCATTGTACCTGTAGCAGTAACACGTCGTCAGGATCGATTGCATCTTTTAACAGAGCCAGCATCTCAACTCCTTCGGATTTGTTGGTCAAGTTAGAAAAACAGTTGACCAATGAATGCAAGCATGCTCTCCGCACAGAAACATCACCGGTTGAATAGAAAAGACCAATCAATGTGGAGAATAACTCATCTACGTTAACTTGAGGACTTAAATGTGCAAATCTTCCGAGGATCTGAAGTTGTTTTGTGATGACGATTTTGAGTTTGCGAAAAGAAAAATTCAGTGAGAAGTAACTTGAGATAGTTTAATGAAAAGGAAGGCTTACTAGAACAAAGAAACAAATGAGGTCGTTCCAGCTTTCGTCCGATTGATGATCTGCAACATGTTGGAACGATTTCTCAACAGCTTTCAACATCACAGCGGAGGGCGATTTTTTATTTTTTACTGCTTCTAAAAGACAATCAAAATTTTTTTAATCAGTTTATTTCAATTTTTTATAATAATTATAGAAAAGGAGATAGAGAAAGAGGTAGATACAAAGAACGAACCTTTATTTAGAAAACTCAAAAAGTTGCATGTGACCGTGCTGACTAGATGAGGCAGTGACGATATGGACGGGAGAATATTAAACACTCTGTCTACATACCATGATGGGTCTTCGTTTGAAAATCTGGTCGATGATTGAAACATTAGTTATTGAAATTAAAAAACAGCAACTACAAACTACCATTCTTCACATTTTTCAAGAACTTGTATATATTTGCCAAACAAATCCGTCCAACCTGTTAATTATGCCAATAACATTTCTATAGATTGATTCTTTATTTTGGGCAACATCGTCTTTTCTTTTATCTTTAATTAAGTCGGCGTGACCCAATAATTTTTTACAAATGACATCTTTGTTGACCGGATTGGCCATGCCATAAAGTAGGTCAAGCGCCTGATCGGTGAAAAAGTATTGGTTTTAGTAGGGAATGAAAACACGAAAAAATCTTTGATAATTTTTATTATCAAACCGAAACTCAAGATGTAAAAAATATCATATTAAGGGTAGAAAAATCATATTTCATGAAATGAATGCCTATAGTAAAATTTCAAAAATTACAAATTATCCAAAATATGACAAACACGTTACAACACAAACTGACAGCTGATTGGATGGCGTCATCTTCGCTGTCCAGACTATCGAGGATGACCGACTGATAGGTGAGGGAGATCTCCCTGCATCTTGATATCAACTCAGACAACAACTTCACTCCTGCTTGCCATGGCGATGGCAGGTTGGTGGAATAATTCAAATTTTAAATTTATGGAACAGAAGTCTGTGCATGATAATGAATATACATTGAAAATCAGCCAATCCTAACCAATTAGACAACAAACAATCAATTGACATATAAACTAACAACCGACCAATTAACCAACAAATGATAAACATATCAAACCAACAAACAAACCAACCAGCCAACAAACCAACCCACCAGCAAGTTTAATGTTTGAATATTTAGAGTAAAGGAAGACATCAAGATGTAGAGAGCAGATGGAGGCAAAATCATCATCTTCAGAACTTAACTTGATCATGGACATCAATGCTTCGTACACAACACCTTTGCAAAATAGTTTATACCAGTTAAGTTCCCATTCAGAATGTATTAATTAAATTGTAACCAGAACTAACAAAGACAAAAAATTTCTCAGAGGAATTGCAAAATAGGAGTTCAAATTGAATCATGTTTGAAGTAATTTATAAATTGTACACACACATGCATTGCGCGTATGTACTTACTTAATCCGGCTCTGTACTTTGTCTCAGTTCTCTTCAAAACTCTCCTTAAAGCAGAAAGCACCACTTGTCTTGATCTGAAATTCGTTGCAATTAAATAACAATATTTACATTTGTTTCAATAATATTTCTTCGCTAAATTCAATTCTTAATGAAACAATAAAGACAACAAGATTTAGTTTTACAATGTTATAAAATTTCACAATGTAATGAAGTTGAGATTACATCAACCGCAAATGTAACTAATGTAACAGTCAAATGTAACTGATGTAACAGCAATTACAACATTTCAATCTACTAAAAAATAATGTTGCAAAAGAATCATCAACCAACTCATGATCGTCGGCAGCCAGTGACGTAATTAACTTGATAATACTGATCTGTAGCCAGAGGCATCGGATGCCATTGTAATTGTGGATGTCTGATATTTTTTGAACAACTAGTTGACCAAATATTTTGATCAGTGGTTGGATTATATGCCTATATCCTGCTGGGTTTGTCTGTTGGTAAGACGTTACGTGGCAATAACAAAATAACAATAACATCAGTAACAAAACAACAATAATAAAGTAATTCTTATAGCAGTAGTACTAGCAATTATTATTAATATAGTCCAAATTGCTAAGAAGTCAATATATGCTGGCTATGAGAATTGAGTATAATGATGGAATAACTAGGAAACGATTGGAATTGAAAAAATATGTTTGTGTTTTTTGTGTTTATCTGTGTTTTGTGCTTGTGCGTGTTTCGTGTGTGTGTGAGTGTGTTGTGTAAAAGATGATAAATGAAAAACTCAAAAAGGTTTTGAAATATTTTGAAATTAAAATAAGAGGAGTAACTTTATTTTAAATTACAGACCAATAAATATTATGAAATATGAATGCAAGAGGAAAACATGGATACCTTAGAGATGATGATATAAATCTCAACCACTATGGAAACAACACCAGGGTCATTGTCGTCAATGTGCTTAGGTAGGTGAGGTGTGATCTCATTGGCCAGTTCAGGATATTTATCGACCAATGAGAGAAGACAATGCAGAGATTTTTTACGAATAATTTCTCTTTAAAAAAAAAAAATAAAAAATAGATGTAATTATGACAAATATTTGTAACTGTTGAGAACATTCTGCAGAATAAATAAAATATATTTCAAGCTTGCTTTTAAAATCAAATCAAATAAAAAAAATAACTTTGGATGTTTCAGCTTCTTGAGAATACTGTCCATGACAGATGATACAGTATCCAGTGTGAGCATGTGACCACATGATATCAAGGCTGTTGATACTGTTGCAAGATTTGTGCTCTGCAGGTCCTTGAGTATCATTAAATTTGGATACTATTATTAAATCATCGATGGATAAATAAATAGAAATGTATGCGTGCGTGTGTGTGTGCGTGCGTGTGTGTTTAATGTGTGTGTGATTTAAAATAGTAATCATTATTATAAATGACTATATTATGATATTCTCTCTTAACGATCATTTCATTAAATATCAAAAACAATGATGAAACAACAAAATTGCAAACATGATTGATTGAATGAGTGTTTGATTGATCAATTGAGACCACAATACACACAAGCACACATTCACACGCACATTCACACACAGACACACACACACACACACAGAGGAAAATAATGCAATCAAATAATTGGCATTCAACAAACTATAAATTATGGATAATTAAATTGTGGAATTACAAACTTTCAGAATGGTGTTTACTAGTAACAACGACAACTCATGCTTCTCGTCGAAGAACAGCGAGCATAGCAGGTAACCTATTTAAAATAATCGACTGATGCTATTAATAATGATCTAAAAAAAACAGATAAAATAAGTCAAAAAAACTTAAAGAAATACTTTTTGATAAAAATTTAATTTTCAAGAAAAAAAATCTAACAGAAAACGTAGAATAGAAAACATAGAAAACGTAGAATAGCAAATTTATTTCTTAGCAAACGACCATCAGCGTAAATGAAATAATTAATTCCTCCACTGACCAGTTCGTTTCGTGATGGTAGCTCCCTGCTGGGCCAGGTTGATGGCATGAATGTATGCAAATGAGACGTCGTATCCGAGCAAGTGGCAGTACATTAACTCCACCAAACACTCTCTCATAATTTTCTAGTATAAATTTGCAGGTGATCAGTGTTCTTACTCTTATTAATTAGTATTTTGATTCTTATTTTGATAGAATTTTATTTTATTATTCAAGTTTTTAATCTGTGATCGTTATTAACTTTTACAGTTTTAAGATAGTCTTTTATACATAGCTTATTAATTTTTTTTTAAATCATGCATTGTGAAATCTAAATAAACTAAAAATTAAGAATCAATTCATTAAATTAAATTAATTTATAAACTAATCAAATACTAATTAATCATAAATTCTTAATACATAACTAATTAGTAAATTAATTAATTACCAATGAAAGGCTAGGCTGGGATAGTTTTTGTTTGAGGTATTTAATCTCTTTGGTGATGAGTTCTTTCTCTTCCTAAGTGGGTGTAATGTTTTTTTAAGTTTAGATTTTAAAAAGATTTAGATAAAAACAATGTAATATTATAAAATGAAAACATCAAATCAAAAGTTTTTCACTGCATTTAAAAAAAATTTTATTAATACTTATTTATAGTTTATTTAACTAAACTAAATAATTCTAATAGTATTACTACCGTAATCTTAATCTGTAATTTACGTTATTAAAAATTGAATTAAGTAATAAATACAGTAATACAATAGACAGTGATATTTATTGGCCCATGGCATGCCTCTAATTTAATTTGCTTACAGGCTAATCATTAATTTAGCATTAACATTAATAAATAAAAATTATAAAATTGAACTTAAAAATTTCTAAAATTAAAATAAATAATTTATTTCAAAAGTTACATTTTTGTTCCTCAGTTGTGAGAATTTGTGGAAAAACCTAACGAAGTTACTACTGGATTCTGAAATCTGATTAGAATTGAAATTTCCCAACTGGCCACTAAAGAAAGTGGGTATTGCAGAAAAACCTTTCTGCAACATTCGGCCCAGACGATAAATAATTAAGAATTCCGAACGAACGTTTATATTTTTATTTTTTACGTTATGTTATTGATCAAATTTTTTATTTTAGGCAATTGTTCTAAGTTAACTTTTCAATTGTAAATACGATAAATCTAATAGCTACATAAACATTTAAAAACTTGATTGTTTTAAATTGAAGAACAGAATGGGTTTGTATAGATAGGCTATATATACCAATATATATATATATATATATATTTATTTATTTATTTATAATAATACATACATGTACGTGTTCGTGCCTGTTATAAAAGTATAAAGATTGTATGAAAATAAGCATATTGCGCTAGAATGTCATTAGCATGCGGGGCTAGCATATTTTCTGCTAATGAATAAATAATTAAGTGCTCTGAAATGGTCATTAGCATATCATGAATACGTACCTTCAATCCATCGAAATCTACCTTTGATACAATGCCCCTTAGTATGGTCCATATATACTTGAAATATGACGGCTATACCTAGAATACTTACTTAGGTATGAGCTGCTGTAATTTGAAACTGAATTTGGATCAGTTTGGTAGTTAAAGTGATGAAACAATGGTTAAAACACTTCTTTTTTCTTTGCAACGAATCAGTTCGATCGTAAAACGATTTCCGTTCACACTATGCTGAAGATAAGCAGAAATTGACATAAGCTGTGAAGTTGATATATCCAAAGCAAGTGCGGTAAAAGTATTTTCATGACTTTCAACTAACTGCAGGGCAGGCGTCACTCTTACATAACAAATGAATAAGGCATGAAACACTCCTTACCTACTTGAATTTAATGTTACGTATTCGTATGGAATACTAGAAGGCATAGGGAGGTGGCGTCGTAGCCTAATTGTAGCCTAATTAAATGTATTATACATACAGGTAATACAACACGCATTCTGAATATATGGATAGTGTGGGAAAGCAAGTTTATTGAAGTTACAAACACGTTATACTCGTAACAGAATACAAAAAATGCATTAGCAAATAAAAGATGCGTTCAATTCAACAGAAAAATAATTTGGCACATAAAACCGACCATGCATAGAACGATATGAAAAATCAAATTAACGAACAATGAAAATAGCAAATCAGATCTCAATGTTGGCTGTTGTTCTGATGTCTGTTTGGTATTCTGAAATTATTCGTTTGAAGTCGTCGTTGTCTTGCCATGCCATATTAGAAATTATTTCAATTTCTTTCGAGATGTTTCTTGGAATTGAAAAAAAATTCATTCATTATGAAAATTGCACAAATTGAACCTAGTTTAAAGCAACATTTTCCCCCTCATGAGGTTGTGATTGACTGAAAACTTCACGAAGAATTTGTTAACAGATTAACTGGAAAGGATAGCAATAGTATAAAATTTACAACTTAAGAGACACAGTGTGTAAAAACTGAATGACACTGCAGTTATTTTTATATTAAAAACTTACCGATTTTGCTCTAAAGTGTTCTCAATGAAATGATTTTTTTCATTCAATAATTTTTTCAAGTCCTCAACCTCTCTCTCATATCTTGAATTTTCGGTTTTTAATTGTTCGTTTTTATTTTTGATCTTCCTACTAACTTTATCGAACGTTCTTTTTTTCTTCAAGAGGTTCTCCTGGGTTTAATATAACAAATATAATTTACACAGACGAGTAGAAATAATTACTTATGTGCAATGCAAGCACACATTCCATCAAATAAGCAACAATTAATTATAAAACCAGCAGAACTTTGGTTTGCTAAACTGGATCGCTGAAACAAAAACAAACTAAATCAGTAATCAACGTGGCACGCTTTCTTTAAAGTTTCATCAGTATCAAAATCAAACATTTGAATGCAAAACAAAGTTCGTCTTTGCCCACACTTACTTTCAAATTACTTTTCGCCTTTTTAAGCGAATTAATTTGGCTGTCCATCACATCCTTCAAAGCATGCTCATTATCAACATAATCTTTCACCTTAGTATCAAAAAGTATTACGAATAAACTGCTAAGGTTAAACAAAAATGAAACAAAAGTATATAAACTAATGGCCAACCAACCGACCAGAACTTTGAACTTGTCACGCTCCAATGCAGTTAGTTGGGCCTTCAAATATTAGGCATGTATGCAGTGTTTAATAGTTGTTAATGGTAATATAATAATCATAATGACCTTTCACGATATAAACACATGACAAAAGTTGCCCAAAGCAATCAAGAAATTTGTATAGCAATACATATAATGAATTTAATGTGCCAAAAGTTAAACTAACGGTGTTTAGTAGATCGACGAGCAAATTTTTAAATTTATTTTGATTGTCGAATCGTTTCCTGTCATGTAGTCTCATCGATTTCAACACTGATTTTGTTTTTCTGGAAGATTGTTAAAACAAATTTCAAATTGTGACACTCGTCGCAAAAAAACTATTATTGCTAATTATAAAAACTAATGAAACTACTTTTGATTGCTGAAAAACTTCTTGTTAAGGGCATTGACGTTGCTAACTTCTTCAACTAAAATTTCGTTTTCTTTTTTAAGCTGCTCTTTTTCAAGTTGCAACTCCTAATGAAGATAAATAAAAACACATAGAATGATAACATCCGATGTGGCGTGAATTTATCTGAAACAAAAAAGAATTTTGCCTTTATTTTGGACTCAAGTTTCGCAGCATCCTGAAGGAATGAGGACTTTTCAACTTCAAGTTGTCTACAAAAATAATTGAGAAACGTTGAAATTCTAACAACCACCCAGTGACTGTTTATAATATTAATATCGTATCATCATACTCGTCATCATCATCATCACCAATATCATTGTCATCATTATTATTATTATGATTATACTAACTCTTTAACTATTCTGATAGTTTCAATATGCTCATTATGTGATACATACGTAGTGACGACATCATCATATTTCTTACTCAGCTCTGTCAACTTCTTCAATAACTGTTTGTTATCATGTGATAATGTCTCTTGTGCCTTCGATGACGACGATAGCTTGCTCTTCAAATCTAAAACTAGACAATCAAATTATGAATAAAAGCGTATGAGCAATTATGAAAATTACTCTTGAAAATTTTATTCACGATTTGGATTGCGGACAAAATAAGTTGATGAGGAAGTTGGAAAACTTGAAAAAGAAATGCAACAATCCGATAAAAAAAAATATCCTTCTTAAATTTACAAACAAGTAAACATACATAGTTGCATGTGAAAATGAAACAATGTTTCAGATCAAATCAAACACGTGAAATATTACTCTTTTCATTAGCTTCAGCGATAATTTTTTGTTCCTTCTGCTTTAGAAGACTCAACTGCATCAGCAGCAGCTCATTCTCCTCCAAGACCAAAGAGCACTGCTTTCTTAATTCTTTCCTCAATTATTTAAAAAAGAATAAATTAAATAATAATCATTTTTATTATAAGAATAATTATAATTATTATTCTAATTAATTAATTAATTAAATTTAAACAGAAATAATTTACTGTTGATTCATGGAAATATTCTCATCGGCATTGTTAGACTGCTCAATCTGAATGTGCAATCTTTCATTCTCTGTTATGATTTCTCCTAGATCAGCTCTAAATGAGTTCAGTTCTTCCTTTTAAATTGAAACGAACTGATAGATGCTATTTAAATATTAAAATCGGTAAATACAATTAAGTTTAGAGAATTAATTTTATAAATAATTACAATTCACTATTAAAATTTTCAAAGTCATCAACAACGAACACAGAGTGAACGCACACACTGGAAACCAGGCATATCACACACATTGTTTGAACGTGAATCACCTTATGACGGTTGATGATGTCATCTTTCTCCTTCAGCTGTTCATCATAAGCTAGTAACAATGGCACTAGCTGTTTTGTGTTTATCTGGTCATAATTTGTTTGTAGTTTTTGTTCAGGTTATCAAAATATTTATATTTAATTTTATAATTACGTTAATTCGTTTTATTATTATTATAACTGTTATTAGTAGTAAAAGCGGTGGTTAAATCTATCTAATGTACATATCTAAACTTTCAAATGGAAGGTTTACAGAATTAAATGCATTTAAAATAATTTAATAGCCAAAAACAAAAAATATGGCAAAAAGTATTGTCACTTAATAAATACATCATACATATCTTATACAATAATTAAAATGTAAGAATCCATACAAACTTGTAAAAATAACAATAGAAAAACGTGTTTTACACAACACCCTAACAAAAAAATTTACAAAAATGAAAAATGTCATAAGAAAAATTCCTAAAATAATGAACAACCACATAACACACCAGCCATTTTGGTTTTGGGCCTTTCAGAGGCAACCCATCACCATCATTAATATCTACAGAGTCACCAGCACAATGGTCGCCTTCACCATAATTTTTATTTGAATGCATCGGTGTGTACTTTCTTTGGTATCGATCGAGTTGGACGTTTAGTTTGTGGATTAGAAACTTCAATTTCTTTATTTCATCATCTGGCAAAGTTGGTAGAACATGGAAACATAATTATAATAAAATTTTCATATAAATTTGTTTGATTTAATAGTAATTCAAAATAAATGACTAAACAATTTGTATAATTGACCAAGTGGGAATGAGCTAAAAAGTGAAGAAATAAAATTAATAAATTAAATGATACCTCTACTTGAATCCGATTTTAATGTCATTTTCCCATCTTCATCATCGTCGTCGTCATAATGCACTTTTTTGGCAGGAAGGCTTTTTTTTTTCAAATTGGTATCATAATTTTTTGTGATATTTTTATTCACTAGATCATTGATGCCATCCTCATCATTTATAACATTACCATTAGTTTCGTTTAGCACTTTATCAAATTTGTTATCATCAACATCAGTTTCGTGAACTGGTTGTTTGAATGATGATGATAAAGATTTTGGCACAATCACGTCATCTTCATGGAGATTATCACTTTTAAAATTTTTATCTTTATTCAAATTACTCTCTAGAGCATCATTGAATTTATTATTTATCTGATCGTTAAAATTTGATTTGATATTTTTGTTATTTTTTTCCAAAATGTCATCGATGTCGTGGTGGGGTGGAGATGCAAATGTTGCCGATGTAGATTTCTCATGAGTCCTTGTCTGGGTTATTATCAATTCTCCTGTATAACTATTACAAAAAAAAAATTAATAATTTTCCTCCCAACAATAAATTTCAAACATTAGTGGATGAAAAGTTTAAATCCTGTTGAGAACAAGATCGAAAAATGTTTTTCTACATACGGTTCTGAAGGCCTGGCATTTTGATACTCAATTAAACTGGAGTCTGTGTCATCAGGAGATATGGGTTTAGGTAATTCAGGAAAGATTTGTGGAAGAGTTGTTCCACCATAATATTTATCAACTGCCATTTTGGAAATAGATGCAGACGTCATTGGCACCGTTGTTGCAACAGCTGATCTTGCCAGAGACAAAACTGGACTTTTATTAGATGGCTTTTAGTGTTATCATGTGAAATTAATCATAATTTTAAAAAAATTGGGCCATATTAGCAAATAAAAACATAAATAAAGTGTCAAATATTTTAAAATTATAATCTCATGTAATTGTAATACTAAACATTAAATTATCAAACAATAATTGTTCCATTGAAATGAAAAAGAGTCCTTAGTTAGTCCTTAGTAACGTTAAATTTAAACCGTTAAAATGTGATTGCTTGTGCATTTAATTAAACTGAAATTTTTTAAATCTTTTAACGTTGATGAACAACAATTAAACTAACTTTGAAGTCGTTTAAAACTTTACTGAACATAATAATTCTTACGGAACGCTGCAGTAAAATATAGAAATGAACAGAAAAAAAAATTTATTACATAATTAGAGTCGAATTTACTTTTAGACTTAACAAGAAAAAAAAGCAAAAATTAAAAAATCTTCTTTCTTTGCTTGAGAGACTCGTGAAAATCACTTATAATCCTTAGAATCAGAATATAAAGATTTTTAATGACACCAATGAATAATATTTTGTCAATTGAGCCGCAAATACTGTACAGTTTGACGATTTTAAGATTTATAAACTTCATATTTTGAGTAATGGCATTTTTATTGGCATAAAAATAAGTTATTCTCATTTACTCAGTAACTTGCAATGTAACTTTGAACCAATCCAATTCTAAGAAAGTTGAAAACCAGTCTATTGTCCAATATTACAGAACATTTGGAAAAATGAACTTGTTTTATTTCAATTTTTAACGAAATTGAACTCAGTATAAACCTCATGAACTACATACTTTGGATACATAAGATAAGCCAAACATCATGTCAGTGGCGTCACTAGGGTTGGTGTCACCCGGTGCGGTAACTCATGGTGTCACCCCACTCATGACACCCCATAGACATACAGCATTCTTAGCAAAATTTATAAACACGAACCAGTTAAATGTGCTCGGCCGCGGCGCTTAATAATTCGGACGTCGAATTTGAATGGTATAAATGTCGAATACAAAAATGATTTGAACGAAAAAAATTTTATTCATAATACATTTCTGGGCGCTGGGCGGGTTAGGCTGAATTAATGATAAGAATAATTTTATGGAGGGACATAAAAACAAATACAGTGATATTTTGGTGTCACCCCCTGTGAGGGTGTCACCCGGTGCGGTCCGCACCCCCCGCACCCCCCTAGTGACGCCACTGCATCATGTAAACAATAGTTCTGCTTACATTCACAGAATGGTCAATTAAAGCTGGAATATATGATATATATTTTACGATACGTGCAGATGGGGCATGTAGCATGTAGATGGTTATCAGAATAGAAAGTAAAAGCCCTCATTCATTTACAGGAACATGTGACTTCAACTAAAAAATGGCGAAAAAATAAATTTCATATCTCAAAGCTACTGATGTCAATTGCGCTGTTATCTGGTTCGAAAGCAAAGATAAACCAAATTGATATGTAGCCAAGTCCAAGTGGAATTTGAAACAGTAAACACGTTTACAAGTTTGTTTAAGACTTTCGATACAAGCGGGGTTAAAGTGCAATTGAAATGAACCGTGCATAATTCCCTGTTTATCATAACTGCTTAACTGCTTAAATCAGTCGAAAAATGATATCCTAAGTTTTCGTGAACAAGTTAATTTTTCAAAAATAGTTGTGATGACAACTAAGTTTATGAAAAAGCACATATCATAAATAATACCTACGTTTTGCCTGAAGTAAATCTGTAAATCATTTTTTACTGTCATTCTATATTCCTTTCATAATTACATCATCTTTTATAATTACATCCTACGTGCCAACGGTCGTACTATCAGATTATAAAAAAAAACTCAAATTAGTAGGTAGAATTAACAAGATATATAAACATATCAGATTGTATTTTTAGATATCAATAATAAACTGCCTTCGTTATTTCTGTATGTGCTGTAACTTTCTCTTGTATGACAGATCAGATCATCAGTCTTAATTCATTGAACGTAATAATATATATAATATAACATAATATATATATTATGATATATCTATAATATAACAGGAGTGGGCAAACTACTACCACCCAGAAGCTATTTATTTTATGCGGCCTGCGTGAGGCCTTGTGCGCTAAAAAAGGTTGTCAGCCAGATATTATGACCAGAAAAGGAACCACAAATCTTGAAAAAATTCTCACCCGGGTTAAAAAAATTTGCTATTTAAGTACACATGCGGCCCATAAAGGTAAAATAGTTCTCAATGCAGCAAAAAGTTTGCCCATCCCTGCCATATAGCATTCAATGTATCGACTTTAACTATTTTTCAACTTGAAATTTCGTTTTGGACATGGAAATATTTGATGTAAAACCAAAATCACTTAAATAACGTTCATTTCATTTAATTTCAATTTTAATGACAAGCCAATGTTTATGTAAAACGTACTTACGTATTAGTTCAATGTTTACGAATACGTATAAAAAATTTTATGTATGGACCATCAGATTTTGTGCTTGAAATAATGATTAAAATAATGATTTAAATGCATTTAAATGAATGTAAGAAAAAGTGATTTAGTGCGGCTGTCACTCTTCATGTGATTCGTTACTGCAACTGCTATTGTGTTTGTTTGTGTGTCTGTGTTAGTGTGTGAGTGTGTGTGTGAGTGTGTGTGTGTTTGTGTGTGAGTGTGTGTTTGTGTGTGAGTGTGTGTTTGTGTGTGAGTGTGTGTTTGAGTGTGTATGTATGAGTGTGTGTTTGAGTGTGTGTGTGTGAGTGAGTGTGTGTGAGTGTGTGTGGGTTTGTGTGTTTACCGAAGCCGTATAACAATGAAAATACATTCCAATAAATACAATAAAGTTTTTCCTCAAAAAAACAGTAATTTGTGAACAAGTAAACAAAAAAATTTGTAAATTATTTTACGCGATGAATAGATGAATAGATAAATAAATTTAAAATAATTTCATAAGAGATAAATCTCAATAATATAATTTTTCGACAGCCTGATCACAGTGGTATCCTCATTTTCATAATCTGTACACAATTTTAAACGGGCGCTCTACAAATGTTTGCTTGCATACGTGTATCACACACAAGAGCTTTTTCATTTTGTCTAGAGCAGAGTTGTAGCCAGGGTGAGGCTTTAGGGTAGAAGCCCTTCCACAGTAGAAATTTTGCTAGGGCAGATTAAATTTAATAAATTATCTATGTAAATTAATTGATTTTCGATTTGACTGCTTAATAAATTATCTATGTAAATTGATTGATTTTCGATTTGACATTACTGCAGCCGCTTAAAAAACAGCACTTTGTTGCAAAATTGTTAAAAATACAAGTGAACATACAATGTGTGCAAAAAATGGTCGTCATCATTCTTAATAAAAATTTATAGGCACTCGTCTAGAGTATATCATACCGCTATTATTTTGTATTTATACGCACAAAAATACGCATACGCACGCATGAACATGCAAACATACACATACAAACACCTATGCATATACACACCACAAACATAACGTAACATACATACGCACACTCGGATAGACATTCATACTGGTTATTTCACATAACCAGCACGGCGCGCATACGCACACTCGGATAGACATTCATACTGGTTATTTCACATGACCAGCACGGCGCGCATACGCAACTTAGCATATTCAGTAAATAGCTTTAATTTGCAGCACATTGTTATAAAAAAAGTTTTCGAATTGTTAGTTTACGTTTGCGTTTTGATACTGTAAATATGCTATTGATATGCTTGTTGCCCTCTTTGTTTATTATAAAATACATATTCATCCACATTGTATAAATGCACATGCACATGCACATACACAGATATATACATACACACATATATATATAATGTTTGAAGAGCGTACAAGCGTTATAGCTGAGAAAGCGTTAAATTAAATACATTACTTTGAAAGTTGTACTTAATTTTTATATAACTTTACTAATAATCAATTTAGTTAATACTTAAGTGTAATTAATTAGTGATAAATGAATTCGACTGGTTGCGGGGAGCTTGTTCAGAAGGGGGGTGATAATGAGGTAGGGCATGTTCAGATTGAGAGGTCTTACCCTTACCGGGCAGATGGCTGGATGGGATTTCTCAAACACTTTGAGGTATTTTGGATTGTTTTTTTTTACAATTTGTTTCAATTGAAATATAGCGAAAAATAAGTAGATGCATTATCATATCTAGGTGAATAACTGTATATATATTTTCAAATATATATATATATATATATAATAATTATTTTATAAAATAATAATGCTTGTGAATAAGATGTTCGCATGAATATTGTTTATAAATATTCTGTCTTCATTCTACTTCAGATAATAATAGGAGATATTTCTTATCTCAAGTCATTAGTAGTTTAAACAAATTAAACACAGTCAGTTAAGTTAGTGACAGGCATACAATGCTTATAATAATATCAATCTCTATAGCAAACAGTGTCAGATATAATGAAAGCCTGCATAGTTAAATGATCTAGCATGTTTTTTATGAGGTACAATTCAAACGCAACGACAATTACATATGTAGCAGTTGTTTAAGGATTTATTTGCGTTGCTAGGTAGTACGTAGAGTACCGTATGTAGCGTGTGTAGTAGCGTGTTTAGCGTGTGTAGCCGAGATGACATCCGTAATTTTTTTCTTTTTCTTCTGCTTCTGCCTGAATTTTTTTCCTACCAGTTGTTGCATACATGGCTTTTATGTTTAAAATGTTGACAAGTGCATGTGCACGTTTTTAGAAATTTGTAAGTGTTCTTCTTGATTGTACGTAAAAATTTATCAGTTAAACTGCATTCGAATTGTTTGAAACAGAAAAAGTTGTCTCAACTGTTAAGAAGCAAGAAAGGAATTGTTGAGAAGCACAACAAACTGAGAAGAGACGACGTTGAAAATGGAGATGTACTCATCCACTCACCAACAAGCAAACCGACTAAATATTCATTTCTATTTGGATCGGACACATCCAAGCTACAACAACAACAACAGCAGCAGCAACAACAACAAAAGGAGGCACTTAATCGTCAGCTGTCTGCTAAAAGGAAGAATAGAGATAAGAAAAAGATGACGTCATCATCGTTCTGGAGAATCTTCTCAAATTCTGTCAAACCAATTGAAAAGGACAACGACGCAGTTGATGATGAGGAGGATGAGGATGTTGATGACGATGGGGTTAATGACGATGATGTTGCCGACGATGATGATGACGTCAATGTTGTCTACTACTCCATCCTGGATGCTCCCTGCGTTGATCCACCACCCATCATCCCCATGGATTTCTTCAAGCTGTGGAGGGAAAAAAAGAAAGTTAAAACTAACAAAAACGTGTCTCAACAGCCTGTAGTAGCATGAATGATAGGTAGCAGCAGCTCCAACTGAGCCTAGCCGTAAGTAGTTGTAACTAAAATTAGCTGTAAGTTGCCCTGCATATAAATGGATACCTTTTTGAAGCAGCATTTTATCTACAAAACATTTTAAAGTAGGTACGTTTTTGAAATTGGTGTCTGACATTTTTTCAAGGATATATATTTTAGGGTGCATCAAATATTTTCAGATTATTTTTATACATCTTTCGACATTTTAATTTCCAATTTGTGATTTTAAGACTTCAGCGGTCAAATCAATTTTAACATACGTTTCAAAATTATTTTTTTTTTAAGAAAAATTTTTACTGAGTGCGTTTTTGGTTAGTTTTGTTAATAATATATTATTAAACATTTAAAATACAAAGCACTATTTGCCGAAAATGTGGAACTATGTGGTGGTGTGTGGTGTGATGGGGTGGGGTGTGGTGTGGGGTGGTGTGGTGTCGTCTAGTGCATTATAAAGGGCGATAATAGGTTTTTGATAATTTCAAATAAAGTGAATTTTCTACCCTTCTATACTTTTTTACTTTGTCTATGGAGATATATAAGTGGAATAAATCAATGAATAACTGAAAAGTGCCTCAAAAAATTATTTTTCAAAAATTATTTACAATTTTAAAGAGGTTATTTGGAGAAATTTGAAAACATCGTTTTTAAAACGAAATTTTGTTTCGAAATGCAACTTGAATAAGTGTAACAAAATAACTTAGTAGGTATTTGTTGTGAAATCTCTCTCTTTCTCACCCTCTCTCCTTTCTCTCTTTTTTTTTCTCTTTTTCTATAATGGAATATGGATGTCGTTGTCAAACGCATCTGTCAAATTATTTTATATCACCCTCAACTTCATCCAACTCACTAGAAAAATGGCAATGATGACAACAAAGGTGTTTATGACAATGATAAGGAATGTACTGATGACGGTGATGATGACGACAATGATGACGATTACGATAATAATAATTACAATGATGATTAAGGTGATGAAATCTGCCTTATAAATGTAACCTTTGATGTTTGATGATTTTGCAATTTGTTACGCGACACTTAGTTAATTAAATTCTGTGTGTGTGTGTGTGCGCGCGCGCGCGTGTGTGTGTGCGTTTGTGTGTGTGGAGTGGAAAATAATTATTTTCTTTGCGTAATTCGCTGTTATATCGATAATTCTTTCTATCCATAAAAATGATTTTTTGTACTGAAAAATTGATGTTTATGGACACGTTAAACTTTTCACGAATCAACAACGACTGTTCACCCCAAAACGACTGCACCTCCATGATGGGCGGTTACTATTAATTTATTTTTATAGGGGTTTATGTTTGGAAGATGAAATAATTTAGCATGCTATTGCCATTTAAAACAACTTAAATAATTTCCATTAGAAATTTTTATTTTACAGACAGTTGACAGAAACAATTAATAAGCACAGTTATTAAATTAGGACAGGCAAGTTATCACGTGCAAGAAAGTTGAAGGAGATTTTTTTTATATATTGTAATTCACATTAAATTATCAACTAAATATACTATTAAAGCAATTTGAAAAAGTATATACGTTACATATCCCATGTAACTTTAACTCCAATCAGGGAATAGCTACATTCATTGCTAAAACAGTTTTAAAAAATAGAACGATGTGTAGACAGATTGTATCAAAATATTGGAAATGTCGTCGCCGTACTGGCATTGGCTTGAACTTGAACGTCACAAAAAAGTTGATTGTAAATGAAATTTAATTAAAACTCACGTATAATATCAAAATTTAATAATATAATTACATATTAAATAAGAGTAATTGTGTATAAATGTATTAAAAAATTAAAAATATATAAAAATAAACTTTATTACGCACAATATATTAAAAATAATAACTTTAACTTTACATTTACCAGAAGTTATGTCGTTAAAACTATCATTAATATTGCAGCAGGATTGTTAAAATAGGGAACTTGTGAAAATTAAAAATTGGCAATAAATATACGTATATTTAAAAAATAGATTTCATTGAATAACATAAATAACATTTTAAAATGGAAAATCAGAAAATGAAATCGGTTAGTTTGTGCTTAGATTTCTAACTCAATAACTGGCTGAAACATCGTAACGAAAATATAAGGAAGGATAGGAGAATTTTTCGGCTGCCAGTCAAATGTTCCGAACCGTCCTTTGCTGAAAATTAAAAAAAATTTTCGAATGAATAAAAAAAATTAATTTTCATATTAATTGGTGATAATTATTTAAAACATATTATTTCAGCCAAAATAAAAAGCGTAAAAATTTTGAAAAAATTCAATTTTATTGAAAAATCAAACATTCCGACAAACTAGAAAGGTTGAAAAACAAAGACATGAACATACAATTGAACAAGCAAGCATAGGCAAACGAACGAACAAACAGATAAACAAACGAACAAACAGATGAACAAACGAACAGATAAACAAACAAGCAACTAAACCACGAACCAGTCAGACAGCTGACACTACAAGCTCCTTGACTGAACAGATTGCCACACTCTGTCTTCGTTATGTTCCCACACCACGTGTATTTGTCACCGTATTCGAAGCCTTGAAAAAAATGAATCATTAATTAAAGTAATAAATTATCAGCTAAATTAATATAATTATATACGGTAACTATATACGGTAATTAATATAATTAAGAATAATTAAGTGTTATCTAACATGAAAATTCACGGATATGCATACACACATATACACCCCAATATATATATTATATATAATTCATATATATATATATATATATATATATATATATATATATATTCATATATATATATATATATTACACCACACGCAAACAGACACACACACGCACACACCGCACACGCACATCCATCACAACCCGAAACCAACCATTCGAATCTGCAGAGACCCGCATTTGTTGACATACACATGGACATGAATTTTTGAGAGTCGAATCGTAGCAGGAGAATGGAGGGAGGTTGTTGCACCAGGGCCTGCCATCGTTGCAATCTTGAAGGGGTTAGATCAGGAGGTTTGAAATTTTGTTTGTTATATAGATTGTATCTCTACTAAGATTACCTTTAAATATCAATCAAAAGTCAACTTTAAAATTTTAGACCATATTTGCGTACGTGTTTATGTGCTTGATCGTTGAAACAGAAGAGCAAGAGACAGAAATGTTAATAAAACTTCAATTCAACCAAATAAAATAATTTAAAATGTAGCGCACTAACTCGAAAAGCGTTTTGTAAGAGGAGGTGGCGAGTGAAGAGTGATGTTGATACCCTTCAGAATGGAAGGTGCCAATGAGCTGTATTGAGGGTTGCACTTGATGCAGCAGTTGTCTGCCATACTAGGACACTGGTCAGGAGTTACGAAGGAGCAGTCTATCTTGTCACCGTACTGACAGCCTGGCAAAGTTTTTGATGTGATATGTGGATGTTGTGATGTCATTGATGTGTCCTTGTTGGAACTTTGCTGTTAAACGAAGGTTATCTCGTGACGATGAAATTGTATTCAATGTTAGTTAAAAGTCATCATAGATATCAACGCCACATCGTACATCGTTCATAAACACGCGTCAAAACCACGCATCACAAAAATCGCGTTCGATTGGCGTGAAACTTTTTACATTTGATGCAGGTGACTGCATAACGGTGGATCGTCCGCTTCAACCATTACGATATTTTGTCACGCTGTAACAGTATTGAGATGCTGTCGATAAATGTCTTGGCGATCTTAAGAAGGTAGAACACTACGTTTGACGTCTAATGACTAACCGTAGAGTTGAAGGTTGAACTTGGCGCACTGCAAGCAGCAAGTATTCTCTGAATTGTAACAATTGGATGCTTTCATTTGGGATGGGTCGCTGCACCAACTCGCTCGATCGCCGTACTCGCAATCTGATGTTCATTCAAGGTAGCAAGTTTATTTCTACTGTAATTAAGCTCAGTTACAATTCTATTAAAATTGAATGTAAACTGAATTTAAAAATTTTGTTAATTCTGTTAAAAAATTTGTCTACATTGCAGAAGACAACGAGAACGAAAAGCAGCAATAAGATAAGATGGAAAGGATGAGAAAGAATAAAATAAAAGATAATTTATGGTGATCCACGCAAGAACACCCTTAAAACAAATTCTATCGAAGTAAAAAGCCACACAACTTCAAAAATCCACCGAACAAAACATTAAAAGTCACCAACTCATCATGTCGGTCATCCAGAAATTTTTGCACGTTTGGCAGCAAAGTTTCAAATCCTGGTTGTTGTAGCAGGAAGATGGCTTCAAACCCTTGCAATATTCCGGCTGCTTGTCGCCGTAAATGCACGAAGCATCGGTACTATCTGGAGGGTTGGAAAGTAAGTTTTATAAGAATGCACTTTACAAATTATTAATAGAAGAAATGAAACTATAAGCTATTGAAGTCAGCAGCAAATGACATTTAGGATTGAGAGTAAGATCGTTATTGTACTGTGGTCTGGATGGAATCGAACTAACGATACAAATTCCTCACTTTTCTTTTTGAAATATTCACAAGTGGCACAGCATTTTTTGTAGTAGTCGTTGAGGTAGCATTTGGAGAAGTCGTTGGCCATCAACTCCCAGCATTTCGTCAGTGGATCCCGCGTGTCTCCAGACAGGCAGACGTCTTTAATTGATCAACAAAGTTGCTCATTCAATAATTTAATGAACGGTTTTTAATGTTTGACAAAATTTTAATTAAATAAATTAATTAAATCAGCAACTTCAGTAAATAAATAAGAAACAACACTCCCAAAAGTTTACAAACCAGATGCGGCTGGAGCTGCAGAATCATAAACACAACTTCCCTGCTGGCACCACTGGCACGTCATAATTATTATATAATTATTATTATTATTACATAAATATTATTACATAATTATTATAAAATTATTGTTACATAATTATTGTAGAATTATTATTACACAATCACTGAACAAAAAAAAACTTGAAACTTTTGTTGTATTTATAATAAATGTAATAACGTTCTTGCTATTGCACCCTTGAAGGGGCTGAATTTCGAGGTTGAAAAATTCATGCAGCTCGTACAACAAATGTGCAATCAATAATTTCATTCATTAACTATCGTCAGCATCATGTTATTGCAAAAGAAACGGACAATAAACCATAAGTAGGAGTATTGAAATTCTTAATTTGTTTATGAATTATTTTCAAACTCGATTAAATAAAAAAAATTGTTATAAGGAACAAATAAAGGAAAGGAAGACAAAAAAACCATTCCACTTACTTTCTTATTTCCACACGTAGTGCCAGTGTAGGCTCTGTATTCAGTACTTGTGGTACACTGGCTGGTCAGAGGGTCGTAGCAGTACAATAAAGAACACATCTTCTCGTCATATATCATGCCCTTTGTTCAAAATATTCAATGACCATTCAATTTAATTCAATACTACTGAGAAAGCAAGTGTACTGCAAATGAGAATTGAAACATCAACACAAGAGTTGGAACATTTTTAATGCTCAAAAACTAGAAACCTACTCCGCAATAATAAGATTCCATGCCAAAAAAGAGCTGACACTGTACGTTGATTGGAAACTGCTGACCGGGGGGCGTGTTGGAGGGAATGTTGCTGGATGGGGTGGCGGGCTGGACCAGTGACGTCTTCAGCAGGCAGTTCCTCTCAGACCTGGTTTGCAGGGTTTCATATCGAATGTGCAAATGAAAGTTTCTTGTTATATGAACATTTGGAGTTTTTATTGTGGAAAATTTTTTTTCCATATTCTCATCAGTTTGTTTTTATAAAAATATATTATGTGTGATTAAAAATCAAACAATGATGCGCCGTTTTAAGCGTATAAGGCTCGGGTAAATGCATACTGCCAGTAAATAGAAAAATAAGTTTAACCACACGATATCATCATTTTGACCAGCCCAACACCGTACATCCCCTCATTATCGCAACTAACACAGCCTCAGAGGCGAGGTACTGCCTCATATAGTCGATAGAGCAAGCAGAGAAGTAAAATGGATGCATGAACGTCTGAGGAGTTAGCTGGCCTGGTGCCACTGACATGATGTACTGGTCTTTACTGTCACAGCTGTTATCTGATAAGACGTCATGTAAGGAGCCTAAGCTGGAGTTGTTTCGATTTGGTGTTGTTGAATTTTCTTACTAACGTTTCAACATTCTTTCACACTTATATGCATGAAAGACTTTTTATAATTTTATGTTGTCGATCGATTTCAATGAGAAAAATTACTTGTGAGCAAGTTCATGGGATGTGGTGCCCGTCGTGCCGAACTCCCCATTCTCCTGGCTGATGCTCACAGCCTGACTCGTACATATTGCCTTTATGTTGGCCAGACCTGTATGCGTGCAATTTCAATTAGGTGATGGTTTTGAGTGTTTGCAATCAAAATGAAGTTAGTCGGCAGTATTGTTTTAATTGCAGTGTGTTGATATATCAATTTTTATATAAAAATAACGAAGTCGAAAAATCCAAATTATAAAGCGCATTAAATATTTTAAACCTACAAATTAGTAACAGCGTTACTAAGAGCAACAACAAATTAGTAACATCATTAATAAGAACAACAACAAATTAGTAACATCATTAATAAGAACAACAACACCCATGTCAATTGTGAAGCTGCAAGTAAACAGCTCTGAATAAAAAAACAACAATTCATCTGATTCAACGTAGATTTATGCAAAGATACGAATACAACGTGACTTGAATGAGCAATAAATAATGTTAAGAAGAATTTGTTATGTAATAATGGATTTTACATACAATAAAAAAATACCCCCCTACCAGTGTCTATACCCCCCTACCAGGGCCATTTTCACACTCACAACTCACTGACGACTAACTCTTTTTTTTAACACTCAATTATCTCAACAAAAAATGCAATTTAGTAAAAATTAAGCACAAAATTTTTAAATTTCACATAGAAATAGTGAAAAAACAGTAAAAAGTTCATCTAGCATTTTCACAAAAAGGTTAACTAAAAAAAAAAGTGCTGACACACAACACTCCTATCAATAAATTGTCCGAAACCAAATTTTCCCGTTAAAACACACAAAAATAAAACACATAAACAAGCAATATCACTATGCGAATGTGCTAGAACAAGCTTTGCACAACCAAGTTCTAACAACAAATTGACACATTACCACTTACAACACTAACAACATTCAAACCTTGTATGAAGCGCGGCTCGCCATTGTCGAAGTTTCCAGCGAACATTGTTTTGCTGAATTAAAGTGTAATAATTAATTAATTATTTATAGATTTATTTATTTATTTATTCATTTATTCAATTGTTTATTTATTTAAAATATTAAACGCTTTCTAAGAAACTGAATTGTTTTGAGTCTATGAATATTGAAAATTGTTAATGAATGGAATTAATTTGAAATCAGAATTTTTAAAAAATGCTAAAATCACGCACTCAGTAATGAACAGGAAGTTGTCGTATTGAAGGGGCTTGTTAGCGTCCAACCAGAGGGGGAGGTTGTCGAGGGTTTTGTACGTGTCCATGGCAGGTTTCCCCTTTACGTTGATCATGCTGACGAAGGGTACTGCATCCGGTGTCTGTTGTTGTTGTTGTTGTTTGTGGTGGTGGTGATAGTTAGTCGCTGGCGATTGCTGGCCGTCTAACAACCACTAACCAACCATCCGCCAATTAAAACCAACCAACTATCTAACCAACCAATCAGCCAATCAATCAGTCAACCAACAAACCGTCGCAATAATAAGCCCATTCAATTTAATTGATATTGAATAATCAGCCTCCTTGATGTTGGAATATCGTAGATCCATCTATTAAGAAAAAATTCACAATATTTTCATTACATAAATTCGCGATTACTATATAATACTGCTACTAATAATCATGGTAGAGGAATGATAAAGATGACGATGATGATTACAGCACCGATGATATGTGCTACACTGGTGACACTGGTGATACTGTTACCACCAACAGCCAATGCTAACAACTATATGATAACAACCATAATGATGATGACCACAACTGATGACTTCACTAACAGAATTAGCAATGTTGGCATAGTAGTATCGGATTTGATTGATAGCCTGATCCTGGCGTTTGTCCATTGGTAGCGACGCACTTGTCAGATTGTACCAGCTTTTTTAGGGAGAGTATTGAAAAAACTTTTAATGAAAGTGTTCCACTCCATGAGCAATTTTTCTAAAATCAAATTCGTGTGAAGTTTTCGCGAAGTGGAATAAATTAGTAAAATTGAACTTCCTACTAAAGTAATGTAATATAATGTAATAAGTAATATCTTGAACACGCTGTGAGAACAATGTAGTTGCTGTTCATTCAAGCGAAAATTTGTTGTTTGGTTGCTTGTGAATGTGAATAGTATAATATAATTGAGTGAATAAGCACTAGGTAAACTTAAGCTGATTAGTTCAATGAGAATTTTTTTTTATTTCAAATAACTTTCGATTTAAACAGAAAACAGACGTGTCTATCTGTCTCTCATTCCATCTAGAGTTTAGTTACTATGTTTGAGAAAAATCATTTGTAAGTGTGATCACCTACAACCGACTCGACATTCTCATATTTTGTTTCATTGTTTAAAAGCGTTTTAAACTAAAAATGGTAAATTTTTTTAAAAAGATAACCCATTATTGTTAATTTATAATTGATTACTAATTAATTTTTAATAAATAAATTATTCTTTAATAGTTTTAGTAGCTGGTGATGACAACTGTGCATAGGCAAACCTCTGGTAGAGGGTGTAGTCAATCATCATGACGATCTCAGAGATGTAGGACATCTTTTGGTCCTTGGCTGAATTCAAGTAGCTTGTCAACTTTGCTGAGTTCTGTACGCTCCCAACTATGCGAGTATCTGTGACGGTGATGATAATGGTGACGATGGTGATAGTAGTGATGGTGATGAAGATGATGATGAGGAAGCAGAGGGATGTGATGAAAAGATAGAAGATCATTATGATGATGATACCATGATAGTGATGATTGGATGACCAGGAGTGTGGTAATGATGAAATGACCATGATCGTGATGATGATGAGAAGATGACCATGATGATGGTGATGATGATGATGACGATGGGATGTGATCTAGACAGCGATGATGATATTAATTAATTTACATTATTTTATTAAAAAAAAAATAACTAACAAAAAAAACTAAACTAACCTGGCGGGACTGCCAACGTATTTTGTTGGACCTCCTTTGCAGTATACTGAATGACGGATCTTTTCTTTCGCCTTCGTTTTTTGTCTGACTCTGGTTGGATGAAATACTCTTTCTCTTGGATCGTGAGCGTCCCTTGCTGTGTTTGTTTTCACATGAACACATTAGTGGTTACATTAATTACATGAATGATTACATTAATTACATGAATGATTACATCAATTACATCAATGATTACATCAATTACATTAATGATTACATCAATTACATTAATGATTACACCAGTTACATTAATGATTACATAATGATCCGGTAGGTTTAGTAATTAGACGCGCTTTTTTTACATTCGGATGAAAATAATTTTATTGTTATGAATGGCCTAACAAGAAATCAACTTGTAATAATAATAAAAAACATTAAGTTGCTTGATCCGATTTTTTTGGCTTAATCTTGCTTTATATTTTTTTGATTAAATGATTCAAAATTTTCAAAACTGTTTTACCAGAAATGTGATGTGATCGATCTTTTCATAACTTATAAAAATCTGATAAACTTATAAATATCTTTGCATCTTGATTTGTTCAATCGGATGCTATTTCATCTAAACTACTTTTCTTATCAACCGTAATAAGTTTTTCTAAAAAAAACTTTTAATTTTGTAGAGATAAAATTTAGATAAACAGACATTAATTGGATAAAATTTAAATTTCCCAAAACATCTCACAATGCTGGAGTCGGGAAATTTCAAGAAAGCCGCTCTTTTCTCTCTGTCCTGATAGGCGACAAAGTCCTGTGTATGTAAAATTGCGTTATTAGTGTCGTAAACATTGTTGCTGCTACAAATATAATTATATATGTATCAATCATCAATAGAATTTGGGAAGCCACGATGGTATGAAAGTAAAAAAACCAGCTGATAAACACTTAACAGTTTATATAAGTGCTGATGTAGAAAATTTCGCAGCGGATTGAAGTTATAAAACTTTAAATTTTTAATGGAAATAAAAGTAATCAATAAAATAATATGCGTGTAAAAAAAATAACAGTAATTTTGTAAATATTTATGAATATAAAAAATTCAATAAAAGCACTCACATTGGGTGGAAATTTAGTCCATGGGTCGAGGGTTGAGACATTGCTCTGCTTGTTTGTATCCTTTCCAAGCTTAACTTCAAAAGCACAGGGTACGAATGGGTTGAAGGTCATGTTCAACTTGACCTCAGGGTCATTGTTCACTTTTAGTTTCAGTAGGTAGTTGTTCCCGTTGTTGTTTCCATTCTGGTATTCTTCCAGTTGGAGCTGAAGTGATGCTGCGGCGTTTGTTACGATACGTTTTAGGATTTTCGATTTTATCATGTCATACATTGTTAATGAAAAATGGTTTAAAACAGGTTTTAAAAAATTACGTAAAATTAAAGAGACAACTTTTAACGATCAATCAACCAAACAACATAAAAACAATCAAAGCCCTTTTAAAAGCAGTCTAATTTCTTTCACAGGTTTAAACTAACTGACATTTAAACTAAATACGAAGGACTGTATGTAACTAGTTGGAAAAAGATTCAAAGTGTAAAACGTTTCAAGTACACCACCAGCAGAGGCAAAGCAATTGCACTCAAAATTTTTAAAGAATCATACGAAGTGAATAGTTCAAAATTAGCTCATTATTCAAAATATACTCTTCAACATACTCAAATGATGTGAAACTTTACAATAATAATAATAATTTATTACGAAAATTTCGATAAACTGACCACCATGTCCAGTATGAATCCAAGTTGCGATAATTAATATTAGCACTTCACCGAAATACCCATATAACATTATTAGACTAGCTGAGGTGTGTGGTAGGTATCAAGTAACTTAACTGGTAATAATTATTCTTTTTTTATTTTCTTATTAACTTGTTATTAAATTTTTTTCTCTAAAATAAAATTTTTAAAAATTAAAATACGTAATTACTTTTATTAAAACTTTATCTGTTAAATTTTTACTACTAATTTTAAATTTTGATTTTAAAACGTTCCGTCTGAATGATGGTGCACTCACTCACTGGCTCCAATCTATCATTTATATAAAAAAAATTGCACAAGGGTTTCGAGATCAGTGATTAATAAGTACATACATGCATTATAAATAAATCACACGAATAATTCTATTTATTTGTAAATTTATACTTAATCATACATGTACATTTAAATGTTAATTTAAATTTACTATAATTAAAACAAATTTAAACCAAAAATTCACGACGAATCATTATGACCATGATTAGAACACGATTCATGAGTAGCAGTAGTAGCTATATGTAGAAAAAGGTAAAATTAAGGATGTAAATTATTTTGAAAGTAATAATAAATAATAAAATAATAATTAATAATAAGAATAATAGTAATAATAATCAGACGACGATGACATGTACACCACGGTTATTATGTATCGAACAGCCAAACAAAGCATTGCTCATATTGTCATTCATTATAATACTTAACAGCTATTAGTAACGACGTTTAGTTACTTGTTTACTCGTTAGTATTATTCACATTTATTAATTATTATCATTATTATTCACATTATTATTACTATTATTATTATTGTTGTTGTTGTTGTTTGCTTTATTATTATTCAGTTGTTTGCATGTATGAGATTTAACGTTGTTTACGCTCGAACGTGATTCCGTATTTTAAATGAGCAAACACATACATTCACACTACACACACACACACACACACACACACACACACACACACACACACACACACACACACACACACACACGCACATACGCACACACACACACACACACATACGCACACACGCACACACACACATATATATATACATGTATATGTATCATATGTATATATATATATATATGTATATATATATATGCACATACGATTTTAGAATGTACAAATTCCAGTACATCAAGAGGTATCTTCCAGTTTTCTGCTTCCTGGACCACCATCCCCTTGTTTGGAAAGTTTTCAATTTGTAATTTGTTTTAAGCATCACTGGACTCGGGTGAAACAACATACAAACAGACATACACACACACACACACATCTGTATATACATACATACGCATATACAAACGCACACACATACATACACATGAACACACACACACACACACATATGTGAGATCAGTTCTGATGTGCGTGATCGCCCGTTTCCATCTGGCTGGCTGCCTCTCAATCAATTTCAACGTGAATTTGAAGATTTGCGATTTGAACGATGGAGCAGACGAGAATGTTTTCAATATCAAAGCCGACCTCTCGAGCAATTATCGGCGGTATGTCTGGCGAATTAGTCATGACGTCATCATGTCGTCGTCATCGTGTCGTCATAATAATTTTATTTTGCAAAAAGCATGAGGAATTGAATGATGCCTTATACGTTAATAACACGGCAGTTGAGCAATCTGTGCTTTATTCATGTGAAGGCAATTAGAAAACAACATTAGAAACCGTATCAAATACTAAAAACAATTTGTCTCATAAAAACACATAAAACCATATAAAAAAGGATACAATACAAATTTTATAAAACAAATTGTTATATAAGAATCATATAAATCAAAATACAAAACTCTAACTTTTTAAATGCTTATTAATTAAATACAATTCGGAGTCAATGAAAACGTTTTAAAAATCTGTATAAAAAAAATAAGCGGAGATATGAGAGTTCGAGAACAAGCTCTTCCATTAGCTGACTTGTTCATCCAGTGATTATGTTCATCATTTGTGAACATCGAGTGAACGTTCGTAGGTGTTGTGAACAATGAAAGGGTTGCATTTGTTTGTCGGTTGTACGATAATGTTGTTACCATTGGTTGAATGTTGAATACGGTTGCAGTTGTTGCAATTGTTGTTGCGGATACTACCAATGTTTGCAGTTTTTAATTTAAAAAATTTTAAATATAAAACAGTTTATTTTTTTGAAAATTTCGAGTGAAAATTATTTTTTAAATGCTTAAATTCAGCTTGATAAGAAACGCTAATAAAAAAATCTCCATATATTAGAAACACCATATAAATATAACAACACCGTGAACAACGATGGTAACAAGAGGTTGAAATAAAATAAATAAACGCTGAGTTGTTGAAACAAACATTCTATAAACCTGAGAAAAAAAGCAGATAAAAATTATGACGAACGTAACTAACCTAATTGTGTTGTGGACAAATGAAAATAAATAACTGAATTGAATAAATAAATAAACAGAAGGACGAATGAATAAGTAAGGTGAATAAAAAAATTTTAACATAAGACATGAACGTTAAAAATTAAAACTAAAGACAATGCAAGCTTCCATATGCTGGCGTTCAAATGACTACATGCCTCAGCCATTCCTAAAGCCGAAAAATTTTTTGTTAAAATTATTGAAACGAACAAAACTAAAGCCAAATTAATTAGAGTAAAATAAAATACTATAAAAATTACAAAATAATTTTTTAATGTGTATAAACTCATATAAATCCTTCACCAAGATTATTATTTTAAAGGAATATTAAAGCCAACATAAAATTCAAAATTAACTCAAGCCGACTGAAGCTATTTCATTAACTAAAAAAGTAACTAAAATATATAAATAGATATTTTTGTATAAAACCCTTTCCAAATTAAATAATATCAAATAAAATTAGCACTAACTAGTGCAACAAATAATAAAAAATATTTTATAATGATTGATAAAGAAGCAGCAAACGAACCGGCCGAACAGTGTGGATTACAGTCATCGCTGGTGTAGAGGTTGTCGCAGTCTGATTTGGACAGGTTGTTGCACCACAATCTCTTGTCACCGTACTCGTAACCTTGGGGGCGAAATTATTTATAATTCGTTATTATTATTTAGCATTTATCATATAAATCATTATTCAGTTATCCTATGCTAATGTATTTGCTTTGAAACTTGACGTCTTTCGAATTAAAAAACAACTAAAAATAGCATCCAATCAAATCCTGCCCTAAATAACCAATCATATAATTTACGTTTGTAAACATAATATGTTTATAAACAAATTTAGCTTTTTGTATGTATAGTGTTAATACTACATAAAAAGTCATATTTTTCTTTAATCAAACACTCCCTGTTCTTAAATTTTAAACTTTAATAATTGTTGTGCTTGTGGTGTTGACCTGCACACACACGCAAATGTGTACATAGACTTCCTGTAGATGTACATGATGAACAGTCTTTGTGCTTCAAATGTTTAATAACAGGCAAGTAAGTAATGGAAGGCTTCTTGGCATTTACTAGCTATTTGTATGTTGGAAAAACTGTTATTCCTCACCATTGGAATATGAGACTTGCATCTGCTGACAGACACAGGGGCACGAATTCCTGACGGTGACGTCATAGCAGGAGAACGGGGCAAGGTTGTCACACCAGGGTCTTCCATCGTTGCAATCTGGCGACAGGTGTGGTGGAGTGTGTGGTGTGGCGTGGTGTGATGTGGTGGGTCTTCATTTGAGTGAGTATTCGCTGATTTGTATTTGCTGATTTTTTACAGATTCTACTATTGAAGTACTCATTTATTCATTCAATATTTTATTATACACAGTTTTTTTTATTCCAGTTTAAACATTATGATAAAAAGTGCTTAAACCGAAAATTTGATAAATTTAATTAGAAAGTTTATTTGATATATAAATGAAGGCAAACTTGGAAAACGTTTCTGAGGCGTGGGTGGAGTGAAAACTTGAACGTTGATGCCTTTCAGTATGGAGGGGACCATGGAGAGGTACTGCTGATTGCATTTCAGGCAACATTCCCCGGAAGCTATCCTACACTGGTCAGGTGTTATGTTGTTACACCAGTCCACTCTGTCACCGTACTGACAACCTAGGTGTTGTTGTTTGTGTAGTTGCTGTTATTGTTTGTGTTGTGTTTTGTTGTTTGTGTTGTTATAAGATGTTTGTGTTGTTGTTTGTGTTGTTATAAGATGTTTGTGTTGTTGTTTGGGTTGTCTGTGTTGTTGTTGTTTTTGTTATGTTGTCGGTGTTTTTTGTTTGTGTTGTCGTTGTTGTGTTGTTATGTTGGTGTTTTATTGTCGTTGCGAAGTGAATCACTAAAAACACTAAAAACAGAACGGAAGCACCAAAAATAGAATAAAAAAACACCGAATCAGCTGACCGCTGAGTCTTAGGTTGTTCCTGGCACAGAACAAACAGCAGATGTTCTCAGACGAGTAGCACTGTGAGGTCTTCATTATCGACGGGTTTTCACACCAGTCAGCTCTGTCGCCGTATTCGCAATCTGTAATTTTTTTTCATTAACTATAATTATTTTATTATTCGTCATTATTATATTATTTAATATAATTTTATTACTTTAATACTTCATATTATTTATAATTACC